CACCAACTGCCGACCTTCGACCACGAGGAGGTCGTCAAGGGCCGCATCCAGACCGTCACTGTCACCAATGCTGTCACGAACAACTCCATCGTCATCATGAACGTCCATAACCACGAGATCGACGCCCGTGGCCGCGACCGAGTGCAACGTGCTTGGCATCAGCATCGCACCTGGGCCGAGGCCGACTACCAGCACCGCACCTTCATTGCCATTGGGGACTTCAATACCGCCAGCCGCCCACCGAACAGCTTCCTGCAGCCCCAGCCTCAGCGCGCACGCCTTGCGCTGGACAACAGCGCCCGCCAGCAGCAGCCATTCTGGAAAGCACTCTTCGACGCCATGCTCGAAATCGAATCCGACCTGCCGACCCGCTTCAACAAGTCTGACTTCTCCGCCACAGCGATCGACCGCGTTTTCATCAGCTTGCCGTCCCATGCCATGCTCGAGCTCACTTCGCAGGTCAGCATCGTGCACGACCCTGCCATCCTGTCCGACTCCTTCCTCAGCGACCACGCGATCATCTCCTACACCATCGGCATCAAGCCGCGCACGCCGTCGGACGACCAGGCGATCGCACCAGCGATCTTCCGCGACCCGAACTACGCCAAGTACCTGGACCAGCTGATCACCCACACCAAGACTGAGCACGTCCCCATCCAGAACCGCTGGCGCACGCACAAGCGCCTCATGGTCGAGGCTGCGAGGCCCGTCCGCGACGACTGGGTCAGCTCCACCGGGGTCGGCAACAAATCCAACCTCGCCGACGGCCGGGTGCTCACGGCGCGCTCGATCTCACGCGCGGTCTGGCGCCAGGACGTGGCTCTCGCTCGTCGTCTTCAGTCTACCACCGAGCTTGGCGCCAAGCACCTCTCGATTATCGACGGCCTCATCACGATCATCAACCAGCCCGAGTTCGCTGCCATGACAGCCGCGCTGCACCGCGACTTCGAGGCTCGGCAACGCTCTCTGGCGCAAAGAGCTGCCCAGCGCCCCCCTGGCGCGGAAGGGGCCCTCGAGCCCGAGAAACTCCGTCAAATCCTGCGCGCCTCGCAGAGACGGGCTCTCCTTTGGGCCCCATGGAAGCGTCGTCTGGTCCTCCAGGGAATCAAAATCTCGGGCCCTGCTGGCCCCCCTGGGGTCGCCAGAGAGAGCTGCGATATGGCGGACGCTCTTCGCACCTACTGGAAGCCCGTCTTCGCGCACAAGCTCGTCGATTCCGACAAGGTCACGCAGTACATCTCCGAGCACATGCCGCTGGGCGCCGCCATCGACGTGGGCGCGCCGACCAAGAGGCAGATCCGCGCCTTCCTGGCTCGCACCTCGCCGACGGCTCCAGGACCTGACTGCCTGCCGTATCGCGCTTGGCTCGCACGCGACTCGTCGCTGGACCTGCTCGAGGACCTCTCGTTCCACCTCTGCTCGAACGCGCACTTCATTCACGACCTGAACGATTCTGACTTCGCCTTCCTGCCGAAAAGGGGACAACCTCGTCGGCGAGCTGCAGACCGACAGGGCGCCTGAGGACACGCGCCCGCTCTCGCTCAGGAATACTGATATCAAGGCCATCGCAGGCGCCGCCAACTTCCTCCTCAAATCCGCTGTGGCAGAGCGGACCCACAAGGCGCAGCAGGGTTTCGTAGTCGGCCGCAACTTCACCAAGCACATCGTCATTTTTGACGCCGAAATGCGCCGCGCTGGGATACGTCCTGATGCTGCTGATCACCACCCTGTCTTCACCAGCTTCGACTTCGCGGCGGCGTTCCCGTCTCTGGGACGGGCCTGGCTCTTTGCGGCACTCGAGCGCTTCGGGGTCCCCATCGGCCTCATGAGCCTCTTTCGCAACCTGTACCACGCGCCGAACAGCTTCCTCAAGGTCGACGGGGTCCGCCACTTCATGTTCGCCATCGAGTCGGGCGTCGCGCAGGGCTGCCCCGCCCGTGGCTCGGCATGGGCCATCGCGATGGACCCGCTCGTCCGCCACATCGCCTCCTTCATCGAGCACCCCGACGGCACGCCCGACTACGACAAAGGCTACCTCGGCGTCTGCGCGGACGACACTGGCCTGCTCACATTCTCGTTCGACACGCTGCGCAAGGCATCTGAGCCCTTTTCTGCCGCAGAGGAGCTCGCGCTTCTCTCCCTCAAACCTCGGGAAGAAGCTGAACTCGGACCCGGCTGAACTCGGACCCAGCTGAACTCGGACCCGGCTGATCTCGGACCCGGCTGCTCTCGGACCCGCTGAACTCGGACCCGGCTGAACTCGGACCCGGCTGATCTCGGACCCGGCTGATCTCGGACCCGGCTGATCTCGGACCCGGCTGAACTCGGACCCGGCTGATCTCGGACCCGGCTGATCTCGGACCCGGCCTGCCTCCGGCGCTCCTCCCGGCTTCCGGCTGGGGTTCTCCCGCCCGGCGCTCCTCCCGGCCTCTGGCCGGGGTGCTCCCGGCCCGGCCTCTGGCCGGGGTGCTCCTGGCCCGGCTCCCCCGGCCGGCGCTCCCCCGGCCGGCGTCTCCCCGGCGTCTCCGACCCGGCTGAACTCGGACCCGGCTGAACTCGGACCCGGCTGATCTCGGACCCGGCTGAACTCGGACCCGGCTGATCTCAGACCCGGCTGATCTCGGACCCGGCCTGCCTCCGGCGCTCCTCTTGGCTTCTGCCTGGGGTTCTCCCGCCCGCCGCTCTTCCCGGCCTCTGGGGCCTCTGGCCGGGGTGCTCCCGGCCCGGCTCCACAGGCCGGCGCTCCCCCGGCCGGCGTCTCCTCGGCGTCTCCGACCGGGCAGAACTCGGAACTCGGACCCGGCTGATCTCGGACCAGGCTGATCTCGGACCCGGCTTGCCTCCGGCGCTCCTCCCAGCTTCCGGCTGGGGTTCTCCCGCCCGGCGCTCCCCCCGGCCTCTGGCTGGGGGTGCTCCCCGCCCGGCTCCACGCCGGCGCTCCCCTGGCCGCCGGCGTCTCCCCGCCATCCCGCCGTCTCGGACCGGGCTGATCTCGGACCCGGCTGATCTCGGACCCGGCTGATCTCGGACCCGGCTGAACTCGGACCCGGCTGATCTCGGACCCGGCTGATCTCGGACCCGGCTGATCTCGGACCCGGCTGATCTCGGACCCGGCTGATCTCGGACCCGGCCTGCCTCCGGCGCTCCTCCCGGCTTCGGCTGGGGTTCTCCCGCCCGGCGCTCCCTCCCGGCCTCTGGCCGGGGTGCTCCCGGCCCGGCTCCACGGGCCGGCGCTCCCCCGGCCAGCGTCTCCTCGGCGTCTCTCGGACCCGGCTGATCTCGGACCCGGCTGATCTCGGACCCGGCTGAACTCGGGCCCGGCTGATCTCGGACCCGGCTGATCTCGGACTCGGCCTGCTTCCGGCGCTCCTCCCAGCTTCCGGCTGGGGTTCTCCCGCCCGGCGCTCCCCCCCGCCTCTGGCTGGGGGTGCTCCTGGCCCGGCTCCACGCCGGCGCTCCCCTGGCCGCCGCCGTCTGACCGCCATCCCGCCGTCTCGGACCCGGCTGACCTCGGACCTGGTCTCGCCTGGGCGCTCCCGGCGCGCCCGTCCTCTCTGGGTGCACTCGGACCCGGCTCATTTCGGACTTGCCTGAACTCCGAGTCGGTTGATTTCGCTACTGGCTGATCTCAGACCCACCTCCTGCCAGGTGCGATCCCGCCGGTCCTCCCGACTTCCGCCTCGGGTTCTTCCGGCCGGCGCCCTCCCGCCTCCGGCGCTTTCCCGGTCGGCGTTTCCTCGGCGGTCTGGCGCTGTCCCGGCTCTCGGCCGGCGCGCCACCGGCGCTCACCCGGCGGCTCCGGCGCCTCCCCGGCGCTCTCCTGGTGCCTCAATGTCCGCGGCGAGCACGCGAGAGCCCCATGTTGAAAAGTAACCTCCCTCCATCACGACGATTGTCCGCGGCCATCAGGCGAGAGCCCCATTTTGGAAAGGAACCTCCCTCCACCCGTGTAACAGACTTCAAGACGATTGCACGCGGCGCTAAGGCGAGAGCCGCATTGTGAACACAAACCGCCCTCCATCGTGTAAATGTTGCACAATAGTACACTTCAGGATCATACATGGCGATCGTACATGGCAAGGGAGTCTCTGGCGAAACGCCTGCCTCCCCCCCTACACACAAGTTCCGTGGCGCGCCAGGGAGGATTTCTTTTTAAGGGGAGAGGATGGAGGAGGACGAGGAGGAGCGGGAGAAAATGAAGAACGGGAGCCGTGGCTGTCTTACGGGCTCTGTGGCCGCCCTGTTCGTGCGTGTGGGCGGTTTTGAAGGTGTCCTTGGGCCCAGGGCGGGCGGCCCCACAGCACTTCCTCCAGCCTTTCACATGGGCCACAGGAGCATGCTCAGACGCCCGCGCCGTACAGGCATGCACTTGGATATTGACGTGCATTTTCGCGCGGTGGCTCTCAGGCTCAGAATGGCCATGGCAATGTCGACGGTGATGATGGCAGCGACGGCGGACTACGATTCCGACGGCGACGACTGCGGCCACGGAGACCATCACGCCGACGACGTCGACGACGACGACGTCCTCTTCCTCCCTCCTCCCTGCTCCTCCTTCCTTCCCTCCTCCTTCCTCCTTGCTCCTCCCCTCCCGTCTCCTGTGCAGGAGACTCGGCGGCAGCTGTAATCCCGGGAATGGGTTCCAGGGGATCTTTCTCCGGCCTTCGTGGCCTTGCACTCTGTGTCTTTCAGGTGTGGCATGCGTTGTCATGCCTTGCGTTGTCATGCATTCCATTGTTGTGCAATGCAGCGCAGCTCCTTCCAAGTTTCCATTGCACTGCCTTGCGTTGTTCTGCCTTCTTGACTTCGCTTTGCGATACATTGCATTCCATTGCGATCCATAGCATTCGCTTTGAGTCCTTTGTGGGTTTTCCATTATGTCCTCCGCCTACACTTTTATGTCGTCGCGCCATTCCCAACCCAACCACGTTTTTTTCACAGGGACCTTGGCTCAAGCGTTTCCTTTCGATCGCACTGCCTTCTGCCAGCCATCCGGTCCCATGGCATCCGCGACCTTCCGAGCGCTGCCCTCTTGCTTGATTAGCCTACGGCGTCGAGAAGACAATCGCGACGTTGCCTTCCAGGTGGCAGCCGGTCTGGGCATCGAGCCGACGTGGTTGGCGGGAACCGATGGGGATTCCCTCAAGGCACGGAGTGGGTATGCTAAGCGTTGCCAGGGCGGGCCGGGCGGCCGGGTGCTTTGCTCCTGGTTCGACGCCGCAGACAAGACGCGCCGTATTCGGTATGTGCGAAATGCCAAGTCGAATTGGGGCACGCATTGGGGGACCTTGGGCTGTCTGATGAGCCACGAGCGTGCTTTGGCGCAGCTCCAAGACGCTCCTGCCCTCATCGTCTTGGAAGACGACATCCGCCTGGCAATCGATGCCAAGGAGGCCTGCGCGATGATTGCGCAGGCTCTCCGTTGCATCCAAAAGGACCACCAGGATTGGCTGATCCTGTACCTTGGCTGCTCTACCACTCCGTGGTCTGGGCCCTTGCGCAAGGTGCGCGGAGGGCCGGCTGGTTTGCGCTACGCCCGGCAGGCTTACCAGAGCCATGCGTTCGTGATCTCGCAGGCGGGGGCGGAGATTTACTGTGAATACCTTCGCAAAGGCTTCCCTGCGGACAACGCGCTGCTGAACATGGTGCGTCGGTGCCCCATGATGCGCTTTGCCCTGGACCCTCTCGTGCTTGCGCAGGAGCAGAAGCTCACGCAGAGCGACATCCGCGAGTCCACCGTGGCCTACCGGTCCGGCGCTCCACGCGCACGGAAAAGGGGCCACGCCAGCATCGCCAGGAGAAGGGCGTCGTTGCCGCAGGCGCTAGCGGCTGGGAGCGCAAGCAGGAAGGAGTGGCTCCGAAAGACGCGCCGAGCCAGCGCCAGACGCAAATCCAAGCGCACGCAGACCAAGGCCGGTTGTCGCGGCTCCCACACCCTGTGCATGTCGGGGTGGGCGTCTTGCTCCGCGGGCGCCCAGGCAAAAGTTGCGCGCCCCAGCGTCCGGGCGGCCATCGTGGAGCGATGGGGCCAGGCGACGGCGCTTTGCTTGGCCTGCCAGACAGCATCCTCCAGCCTCCGGCACAACCCGCCGCCGCCCATTGTCCCCCACTTGGCACTTTCCCCTGAGGCGTAAGGGTGACCCCGTCAATGTGTTCTCAGCGTTTCGTGCTCCATGGGCATGTCATGGTCCTCATGGGGGGCCTTTGCAAGGATGCCATGACTGCAGATTCGTGCGGCCATGGCCTGCTAATCGGCTCCTGGTCTGCCGCGAGTGCATCCGCTTCGACTCTTTCCCCGACCGCGCGCGCTCTTGTGCGCGTGCAGGGGCTCTCTCAGGCGCGGCCGCGCCACCCGGTGGCTTTCCGCCTCTTTCCTGCCCGCCATGGAGTCCCCAGCGCGCGGGCGCGCGCGCGCGCGATGGCCATGCTGCCCAGATGGGACGCACGGATCGCCTCTTCGTCTCCATGTCTCACCCCGCGCATGCCATTCCCTGCGCCGCCATTTCCCGCGCGCGGAGCATCGACGGGCCACCGCTGGGCATGCGCCAGTTTTGCGAATGCACCCTTTTCCGTTTCAGCGACCTCGCGCTTGCAGCATCTCTCGCGCTCCCGCGGAGTTCCACGGGGCACCTGCCGCGCGGAGTCCGTTCTTTCTTGCCTGCGTTTTCCTTGCGGTGCGTCCTCCATGTGAGTGCGGAGCGGCAGCGCCCGCTTTCCCGGGCGGCGGACTCTCGCGTTCCGCGCGCGGGCCCGCGTCGGGGATTCCAGAGACAATCTCTGGCTCCGGCCCTGCGCGCTCGCCGCGCAGGGGCCGCCTGCCCGCTGGCGCGCCGCCGGGAAACGCGGCGCGGTCCGTCTGCGCGCCATCGTGGTCGCGGGAGCCCGGAGAAGGTGGCGGCGAACGTTTCAGGATGCGCTCCTCGCGCGAGGCTGGTCGCCGTCGCCGTCGGTCCCGCGCGCTGGGGGGCCCTGTGGCGCATGAAGGGGCCACGGGCGTGCTCTGGCGCAGCTCGAAGAGACTCCTGCCCTCGTCCTGTCGAACTCCGCCTGGACATCGAAGCAAAGGCCGCCTGCGCGATGATGGCGCAAGCTCTCCGCTGCATCAAAATTGAGCACGTGGGTGGGCTGCTCCTGAACCTCTTCGCTACCGCGCCACTGCGTCGTCGGGCCCCCCCCGCCAGGTGCGCGGCGGGCTGCCTGTCCTGCGTCGCGCGCGGCAGGCGAGACGTGCGTTCGTGATATCCGAGGCGGTGGCGAATTCTTACGGGGAGTACCGCAACGCGCTGCTGAACATGGTGCGCTGGCGCCCCTGGAAGCGGTTCGCCATGGGCCCTGCCTGGCCAAAACATGAGCGGAAGTAGTCGCCGAGCGACTTCCGCAAGTCCACTTTCACTCTCCGTGCGGCGCTCCAAGTGCATGGAAAAGGGGCCACTGCAGCAACGCGCAGAGACTGGCGTCGTTACCCCAGGTGCAAGCGGCAGGGAGCACCAGCAGGAGTGAGTGCCTCGGAAAGCCTCGCCCACCCAGCGCCAGACGCAAAACGCAGCGCTCGCAGACAAAAGCCGGATGCCGTGGCTCCCGCGCACTGCGCATGTCCGGGTGGGCGTCTTGCTCCGCGGGCGCCCAGGCAAAAGTTGCGCGCGCCAGCGTTCGGGCGGCCATCGTGGACCGATGCGGACAGGCGACGGCGCAATGCTCGGCCTGCCAGACACCGCCCTCCAGTCTCCGGGGAAACTCGGCGCCGCGCTTGTTCCCAAATCGGACTTCTCCCGTGCGCCTTACGAGTTACTCCCCTAAGTGTGTGTCCGTGTGTGCGCGCGTGTGTGTCTGTGGGTGTGTTCGCAAAGGCCTGTCTGCCATTGGAACTCCACGGGCCTCGTCGCGGGGCTTTGCATCTCTGCCCTCGTTGCAGAGTTGCGCGGGCATGGCCTGCTGCTGGGCTCGCCTGCTCTGACACGCGTGCTACCGACGGCTGTCTTCGCGCGACAGCGCGCGCCCCTGCGTCTGTGCAAGGGGCTCTTTCAGCAGGCGCGGGCGCGCCACCCCGTGGCTTTTCGCTTTCCACTTGCCCGTCGCGGAGTTCCCTGCGCGCGCGCGCGGTGGCTGCTCCGCGCAGATGGGCTTCGCGGACCAGTCGTTTTCCAAAATTCTGGCGCCCGCGAAGGGCTTTCCCTGCACCGGCGATTCCCGCGCGCAGGACGTGGGCGGGCTCCCACTGGGCTCCGCGCGCGCGGATGCTGCTACTTCCATGGCAGCGCGCGGGCGCACGTAGCATCCCCAGCGCTCCCGAGGACGCCCGCGGGGACTCCTGCCGCGCGGACGCCGTCCTTGCCTGCGTGTTCCAAGCGCACGTCCTCCATGTCTGCGCGGACCCCAGGCGGCAGACTCCCGTCTCGTTACGCGCGCGCCACGAAGTCAGGGAGTCCATGGTGAATCTCTCGCAAGGGCCCCTCGACCGTGCGACAGAGGGGCCGCCGGGCCACTCGCCTGCGACTGCCGCAGTGCCGCTGGGACACTCGGCGGGGGGCGCCTGCGCGACATTGCGGTCGCGGGGGTCTGCTGAGGGCGTCTCCAAACGTCTCAAGGAGCGCTCCTCGCGCGAGGCTGCTCGCCGTCGGCCCCGCGCATGTGTGGGCGCTGCGCAGTTGGGCAGCGCCCAGCGCCGCAACTTGCAGATGCCGCGTGCGTGCATTAGTCATGCCGCGCGCCGCGACTGATCTACACACGCGGCGCGAACGGTCCTCGCCGGACTGGCTCCACGCGCGCACGCGTGTCCCGTTCGGTACTCATGGATGCGGATTCGCGCAAGTAGCACATGCATCATCCAATCGGCTGCACCGCCTGGACTGGATGCGATGGCCCGCTTTGCGTCTTCAGAACTTTTACATGACATGGTTTACAGCCCGCGCGTCGTGGCCGCCGAGGGTGCTCCACCGAAGAGACCCCTCTTGCGTCGCCATGCGTCCCCTCCACAACTTTCATTATTTTCCTTCACACCTTTTCCCGGCATCACGGTGACTTGCACCGAAGGCCTTGGCGGCGCCGGCCGCATGCGCCCCCGTCGCCCATGGCGGAACTGCCCACGCACGTTCCCCCGGCCCATGCAATGCGACGGCCCCACTGCCCCCGCCCGCATGCGTCTCCGCAATCCTCTTCGGGACACTTATCACACGTCGCGTGGCCTCATGGGGACCTCCACCGAACAAGGGCTCACTGGCGTGGCCCGCGCGCGTTCCCGCCGACCATGCCACCACTCACCACACTCGTTCCTTCGGACCCTGGGGAGCTCTACAGAATCCCCCACTGGCAATGCCCGCATGCGTTCCCGTTATCCAGTTCGGGACACCGCATGCACGTTCCATGGCCTCACGGATACCTCCACCGAAGGCCCCACTGGCGCCGCCCTCGTGCGTCCCCGGTATTCAGGGCTCTTTTGGAGGCCCTCCTAGGGCCATATTGGAGGCTTCCTGGCCCCTCCTGGGGCTCTCTTGGGACCGTCCTGGGGCTCTCTGGGGGCCCTCTTGGAGGCCTTGAGGTCTCATCGATGAAAGATGTGGGGGTTCTTTAAGTCAGTGCCCCCGTCGGGACCCGAAAATGAGGTTCTTGGGGCTCTCTTGGGCCGCTCTTGGGGCGGTCCTGGGCGCTCTTGTGGCCGTCTTGGAGCCCTCCTGGGCCTCTCTTGGGGCCCTTGTGGGCCATCTTGGAGCCATCTTGAGGCCTCAAGAGCTCATCGGACGCGAAAGGGCGACAATGCAAAAAACATAGGAAAACAAAATGGATTTCAAGGATTTTGGCCTCTTGAGGGCTTCATTGGAGGGCTCGAAAGGCACTTGGAGCCGTCCTGGGGCGGTCTCGAGAGCTCTTGGATGTCTGTTGATAGCTATCTTGAACCATCTTGGGAAATCTTGCTTGACCTTGGAGGCTATCTTGAGCTCTTTGAGGCCCTCGTGGAACAATCTTAGGCCATCTTGGGCGCTCCTATTCCTCGCGGGAAGGCGCCTGTAGGCCCAGGGGGGGGGGGTAGGGGGAGGGGGGCCCCCCTCCCCGAAGGGGGAGAAGGGGGTTTAGCAGAACGAGCTCGCTAGACCACTCACGCCCTAAAGGGCTTGTGGGATTATCGGGAACGCACGTTCCAGATGGCTCGATGGGCTCTTTGTTGCCTTGCGGCCCTGAGAGACGGGGAGGGGGCGAGGGCGCATGGCCGGCCGAGTTCGGGCGCGGCCGGGTCCGAGATCAGCCGACGGCTGAACTCGGACCCGGCTGATCTCGGACCCGGAAACTCGGACCCGGCTGAACTCGGACCCAGCTGATCTCGGACCCGCTGAACTCGGACCCGGCTGGTCTCGGACCCGGCTGATCTCGGACCCGGCTGATCTCGGACCCGGCTGATCTCGGACCCGGCTGATCTCGGACCCGGTTGATCTCGGACCCGGCTGATCTCGGACCCGGACGCTCTCGCTGCAGCGCGGGCCTCGGTCCGAAATCAGCTGGGTCCGAGTTCAGCTGGGTCCGAGATTAGCTGGGTCCGAGATCAGCTGGGTCCGAGTTCAGCTGGGTCCGAGTTCAGCTGGGTCCGAGTTTTTGGGTCCGGGATTCCGGGTCCGAGATCAGCTTGGGTCCGAGTTCAGCTGGGTCCGAGTTCAGCTTGGGTCCGAGTTCAGCTGGGTCCGAGTTCAGCTGGGTCCGAGTTCAGCTCGTGTCCTCGCAAGTGTGTAGTCGTGCCCCTGTGGGCGCCTGTCTCTCCTGCCACCGCTGCCCAAATGAAAGCGCTCCTGGCCGACCTTTGTCGTTCCTGGGGTGGTTTCACGATTTCGGGGCGAGCCAAGTACCTCGGGACCTTCCTTGGACCCTCCGCCTCCCTCGCCCTTCAATGGCTCGCCCCAGGGCAAAAGTGGTAGCAGCGCGGTAATTTGCTCAACCTCGTCCAGTCTGGCAGTGATGCCACCGTTCGCTTATATAACACTTCCGTCTTGTCCACGCTCAGCTACGTTGCTCAGTTCTTCCCGGTCGATTCTAAGATTGCTCGCCGTGAACTTTACGTCTTCCACAAAATGCTCAGTATGCCGCCCAACTCTTTTCGGAAGGTAGATCTCATTTCGATGGCGGATTGGAGTCCGCTACCTGTCCCTCGCTCAGCTCAAGTCGCATCTGCCGCCGCCGCCATCCGTTCAGCTACTTTCACACTCCGCGGAGAATGGGAACATTTCTTCCACCGTCTGCGAGACGCCGCCTGGGAGGAGAGCACGGTCCATTCCTCCCCTCGGTGGGAAGCAGGGCGCTGGTCTCCCCCCTTCTGGGAAGAGACCTCGTCCATCGTGCAGTTCTACCACGCCCTGTCTTGCGGGCAGCGCGTCCCGCCTTTTTCAGCAGCAGCCGCGGCCCTGGCGAATCGCGCTGCGCGAGCCGAAATTCGCGAGGCGCCTGCTGCAGAGCCGCCGCGTCGCCCGAAGGTGCAGAGGGTGGTCGCGCTCGCTCTGCAGCGTGCCTTTTTCTCATCGCCGTTCACTGTCACTCTCACGAAGCGCATCGAAGCCTGGGGACTTCAGCAGCCGCCGCCTCCCCCAGAGCTTTCCAGCCGCTGGTCCGCTCTCACAAAAGCGCTCGGAGAGGTCCGTCCCAGCTGGCGCTGGGCGGTTTTCAAATCGCTCAGTGGCGGGTGGACCACCACCCACCGCGTGCATGTGCTCGCCCCGCGCCCGTGCGTGTTCGGGTGCCGAACGCACCCGATTCATTTCCCCACTACCTCTCCTGCCCTGTCCTCCTGAGCCTCCTGTGGTCCCCCGACTCTGCTCCTCTCCTCAGCACATATACGACCTGGGGCTTGGGCCCCGCAGCCGCGTACCCTTCCGAGCCTGCCAGCGACCTCTCGTTGCGGCAGACGATTCGCAGGATCGCGCTGGCTTTTCACATTTATAACAGAATGAAGCAGTACGCAGCGCCGTCGCCAGCAAATATGGCTGAAGCGGTGGCCGCAGCGAAATCTCTCCTGTGGCGCTGAGCCGCTGTCCGCCGTTTCTCACGCGCCGCCTCTCTCTGGTCAGGCGTTTGCGGGGCTGACAGACGAGTTCGCCTCAAGGTACGTTCACTCCTCCCCCCCTCCTCCTCCTCCTCCTCCTCCTCCTCCTCCTCCTCCTCCTCCTCCTCCTCCGCCTCCTCCCCCTCCGCCCCCCTCCCCCCTCCTCCTCCTCCTCCTCCTCCTCGCCTCTCCGCCGCCTCCTCCCTTCCCCTCCTCCTCCTCCTCCTCCGCCTCCTCCTCCTCCCCCTCCTCCTCCTCCTCCTCCTCCTCACTCCTCCTCCCCCCCTTCCTCCCCCTCCTCCTCCTCCTCCTCTCTCCTCCTCCTCCTCCTCCTCCTCCTCCTCCTCCTCCTCCTCCTCCTGCTCCTCCTCCTCCGCCCCCGCCTCTCCTCCTCCCCCTCCTCTCCTCCTCCTCCTCCTCCTCCTCCTCCTCCTCCTCCCTCCCCTCCGGCCCTACCTCCTCCTCCTCCTCCTCCTCCTCCTCCTCCTCCTCTTCCTCCTCCGCCTCCTCCGCCTCCTCCCTTCCCCCCTCCTCCTCCTCCTCCTCCTCCCCTCCTCCTCCTCCTCCTCCTCCGCCTCCTCCTCCTCCTCCTCCTCCTCCCCCTCCTCCTCCCCGTTCCCCTCCCGGAGCCGCGCCCGCCTGCGCCCCGGAGAGGAGTGGGAGCGCGAGGAGGCCGAGGAGGCGAGGCGGCACAGCTGCGCGCTGGGGGCGGCGGTGCGGTCCGAGGAGGCTTGCGCGAGGAGCGGGCAGCGGGCGCCGCGCACCTGGGGGGGGGGGGCTCGGCCTCGGGCGGCTTGTTCTTGGAGTTGCTGATGCCACCACGAGGTGGGAGGAGGAGGAGGAGGAGGAGGAGGAGGAGGAGGAGGAGGAGCAGGAACAGGAGGAGTAGGAGCAGGAGGAGCGGGCAGCGGGCGCCGCGCACCTAAGGTTAAGTCGGGCCCGTCCCCCTGCAGGGGCATTGTCGACGAAAAATCAAGCATACCCCCACAAAATAATCAAAACGCGCTCCAAACATCGTCTGGGGACTAATGTGTTGGATATTGTTTGACCTCTTGGGGGGCATGTTTTGGGGTATTTGTTGCGTTTCGTCGAAAAATTCTCTGTAGGGGGGGCACGCCCGATATAAACCTAAGGGGGGGGGGGGGGGGGGGGGGGGCGTCTCGGGCCTCGGCGCTGGCCGCCGCCGTCTCTCTCTTGTTGTCGCCGCGGTGCTCCTCGTGCTCGTCGGCCGGCGGCGTGGTGGTCGTCGGCGGAGGACCTGGAGGAGGGGAGAGGGAGGGCGGAAGGAGGGAGGGAGGGCTTCTTCCTCCTCCTCCTCCTCCTCCTCCTCCTCCTCCTCCTCCTCCTTCTCTTCGATATCCCGGCCTCCTCCTCCTCCTCCTTCCCTTTCCTCCATCTCTTTCTCTCTGGTATCCCCTCCTCCTCCTCCTCCTCCTCCTCCTCCTCCTTATCCTCCTCCTCTTCCGGTTCCTCCTCCTTTTCGTATTCCTTCCCTTTTTCATGTGTTTGTTTTGTTGATCCGTCGTTATTTCTCTCGCTCTCTCTATCTTTCTCTCGCTTCCTCAATCTCTCTTGTTTCTCTCTCTCTCTCTCTCTCTGGAGCGAGCGCCGCTACTGACTACCATGCAGCGAGCGATTGATGATCGGAGCGTTCAGCGGAATGGCAGATGAGCTACGTCAGCGGGCGAGAGTCAGCTCGCCCGTTTTTTCGCGGTGCGGAAGGCGGGCTGCGCCTTCCTCCCGCGTGGCACAGAGGTAACGCTGCTCCTCCTCCTCCTCCTCCCTGCTCCTCCTCCTCCTCCTCCTCCTCCCCCTCCTCCACCCTCCTCCTCCTCCTCCTCCTCCTCCTCCTCCTCCTCCTCCTCCTCCTCCTCCTCCTCCTCCTCCTCCTCCTCCTCCTCCTCCTCCCGCGCGCATTCCCTCTTCAGAACTTGATGACCTGCGGGCGGCTCGGGATGGCCGTCCACACTCCACGGGTCCACCCGTCTGCTGCGGAAATCTTCGGCGGGCCCCCAGGAGGCCCTCTGGCGTTTGGCCAGAAGCTGGCCCGTCCCCGAGCATCCTCAAGGGACCCCCCGGAGCTTCCACGAATCCTCGGGAGGTTACAGGCGGGCTGCAGGGAGCTACAGGAGTTCGCCGGATATTGCAGGTGGCGCCAGCGATTATATTATCCCCCAGGGAGCTCCAAGGAGCTCCAGGGAACCTCAGGAAACCCCAGGAAGCTCCAGCTCACCCTTGGGAGCCCCAGGACCCCCCAGGAAATCACAAGGAACTCCAGGGACCCCCAGAAAAGCTGAGGACGCTCCAGGGAGTCCATGGGGGCCGCAGGAGGCCCCAGGAAACCACAGGGAATCCCAGGGAGCCCGAGGAAAATCTAGGAAGCTTCAAGGGGGTTCGGGGAGCCCCTGGAGGCCCCAAGAAACACCAGTGAGCCTCAGGGACCCTTGGGAGGCTCTGGGGAGGCGCAGGGAGCCGCAGGGAATTTCAAGAGGGCCCAGGAAGTCCCAGTGAACACCAGGAGGCGCCGGGGACCCCAAGGGAACCCCAGAAACCCCAGAGAGCCCCAGGGAACTCTAGGTAACTCCCGGAACCCCCAGGAAACGTCAGGGAGCCCAAAGAGGCTACAGGGGATGCGCCGCCGCTACGACCCCGCCAGAGGAATGGAATCATGAAAGGGAACTTGATGACTCCAAGGGAATCCACAAGACTTCTGCAGAGTTCTGGATCATCTCGTGGAATCAACAGGAGCCAGGGGTAACCAAGAGGAGCCCCTAAGGGTATCGAAAGACCCTGCAGAATCCGGAGGAATCCCGAGGCATGCGTAGGAATTCTGACGGGCCAGGATGAATCCTGAGGGACACTGTGGGATACCGTAGAATCCTGGCGCAGCCTGAGGGGTCGCGCAGAAGCCCTCTTCTGAGATTTTACAGACACCCCCAATCACCACCCCGCGCGGTGGTCGCGCAACGGGATGCCAGCTGATGCGGAGCAGCTGCGACGCCGTAAAAGGAAACATGTAAGTTTGAAAACTCTTGTGAAACGAACGGGGGCCTGACGATTCTTGGGCGCCCGAGGAATCCTGACGCGGCATGGGCGGCTCCGAGACAGCCTTTCAACTGTCTCGTGGAAGTCTCGAGCGGGAACCCTCTCCCTATCGGGTCTCCTCCCCCAAGTTGGAATCCGAGCTGGGTCATCCAAATCTTGTAACTGTCGTCACTTTTGGGCTCCTCTGGCTTGAATCTAGAGGGCATCTCGAGCGGGAACCTCGGTCGCGGGTGAATCGCGAAGGAATTTGAGCAGGAGCCTCTTCCGTATGGAATCCACTCCTTCACGTTCGAATCCGAGCGGGGTCATCTCAACCTTGTAATTACCGCCCTTCCCAACATAAGTGGGCGCTTTGTTCGCACATTCTAAGTGGGGCCTTGGTTTTCTCTGGGCACCCTTGCCCAGGAACGCAGGACTATGGACACCACCACATCATTTATATCATCACCATCATGACCATCATCATCCGTCCATCTTCATCACCATCATGCGCCCCCACATCACCATCATATTCACCATCATCATCGCCGTCACCGCACAATCGCCATCCGTCGCCACTGCCATCACCCCATCATTGTTACTGGTTATCATCATCATCGTCATTCATATCATTATCATGGCCATCATCATTATCATCATCATCATCATCATCATCATCATCATCATCATCATCATCATCACCACAAAGGTGTTCGCACTCGCCCTGGCTACACTGTCATCGCCGTACACATTCAAGCATTCACTCGCACACTCATACATTCATATTGAGGAAGTCTTTAGCGGGAGCCTCGTCTGTGAGTGAATATCGAGGAAGTCTCGAGCGGCTATGGGGCACATCCATTATAGCGGGGCGGTTCAAATTTTGTAGTAATCATTCTTTTTGGGTTCTTCGGGCTTGATGAATCTGGAGGAAGCAGCCCCGGTTCCCCCATCGCTCTTGAAGTGGGCACTCGTTGCTCCACTGCCCCGTCCAGAAGCATGTGCGGTAAGTGTCACGAGGCAGCGCTGTGGACCGCCAGACCGTGGTTGTGATGGACGAGGGGGCGTCCGCAGAGTGTTGGAAGCCAGAGTTCCTTCAGAAAACTCTGCATCCGCCGAGGTGAAAAGAGCACCGAATCCATCTGTACAGTAGTCGGCGGTGTCTTTGCCCTGGCCTTCGGTGTCGTCTCCAGCCTCTACTGTTGCCTCTGCCTCGCCGCTGCCCTGTCTGAGCTGCTCCAGCCAGAGCGCCGCTCGGCGGAGAAGGCGGTGCAGGCACAGCCCCCGCCCAGTGCCCAGCTTTAGCCTTAAGTCGGGCCTGTCCCTCTACAGGGGGAATATTCAAAAATAGTTGAAAAATAGTCTGGGGACTATTTTTCAGTACTTTGGGGCATCTTTTGGGTATTTTTTGATCTGTTTCATTTTCGTCCAAAATCCCACTGTATGGGGGACAGGCCCGACCTAACTTTAGCCTCTGCCATTCTGAAGATGGCGTCTGGGTCGTCCGTGGAAGCCATCTCCACAATTTCAAGGGGGACGTTCAGCACATCCAGCTTGGTCAGGAGCTGCCGCAAAGAACGCAGCACGGTGTGCTTGGACGGCCCGGAACGGGCGGCACGGAGTTCGGGCAACTCCGTCTGCCACACCTTGAGAGCGTGTTGGCTGGGATCTGCCACCAGCAGTGGTGACGCAAATTTGTCGCGCACGGTTGCCGTATGCGCCGTGGCCGAGGCCATGATGGCCTCGCTCAGGGAAGCCAGCATCGAAACCACGTCAGTTCGGTCAGTTCCTGTCCAGTATAGGCTGGCGTCGTCGTTTGCTAGCGCGCACACCTCGAATGCTGAGATCCGGCCGGGTTTTGTGGACCAGGCGTCGCCATGCGCATAATAAGTGTCCATGGTAGCGCCGCCGAGGAGCGCCAGGACGGCTTCCGCGAATCCTTCTGCTTGCAGCCCGCACAACCCTGCAAGCTTGGTCTGTCACAGACCAAGCTTGCAGGGTCTGGACGCGAATCCTTCTGCTTGCAGCGCGCTTGGACACAGACTCTGTGTCCAAGCGCGCCAAGAGGGCACTCTGGGGAGGGTACGGCCCTTGGATGCAGCTGGCAGGGCGGGTAGTGAGTGTTTACCGCCGCCGCCGCCCGGAATCATCAGTTCGGCACTGCAAGGGGCTGCCCCATGCGACACATGAGGAACGTGCTGGCGTCTAGAATATTGGGGCTCTGTGGTACGTGTCGTGCGTGGACCAGTTGAGCTGTAGGTGCGTTACAGTAGCTGTCGTGAGTCTGCCCGTGGGTGTGAGCAGCTGTGGTGTGCTGTCTTGTTGGAGTCCGGGCGAGCCCTCCAGTCGGACACGACGGCATGCCACGACTGTCAAACGATGAACCGAGATGGGATGCAAAGGCAGGCTCGGGCACAACTCGAGGATTGGATCGGCGATCGGCGAGATTGCAATCATGATCGAAACTGGGGGCCCGAACGTCTCGCCAAGTCGCCGACATCGCACGCGCGGGGAGGCTGAGGCGGAGAGGGGGCGCGGGAAGCGGGCACATGACCGGCGGGAGGGGGGGGAAGAGAGAAGCACCTCTTGCCGCGGCAGCTTGAGCCGCAGCGTGGCGGTACCTCGGCCTCCTCCTCACGCACCCCCGTCCTCCCTTTCATCTCCCCCCCCCCCCCTCCCCCTCCCCCCTCCCCCCCCCCCCCGCTCGCACTGTCGCTCCCCCTCCCCCTCCCCTCCCCCTCCCCCTCCCCCTCCCCCTCCCCCTCAGCCTCCCCTCCCCCTCCCCCTCCGCCTCTCCCCGCTGCCGCTCGCCCGGGGTCGGCCGCCCCCGCCCCCGGGCCAGGAGGCTGTCCGAGGAGCAGGCCCGCGCCGCCGAGCTCGAGGCCTGCGGGGGGGCAGAGGGCCCCGCCGCTCCGTCAGTCGTCGTCGTCGTCGTCGTCGTCGTCGTCGTCGTCGTCGTCGTCGTCGTCGTCGTCGTCGTCGTCGTCGTCGTCGTCGTCTCGGACAGGCACACAACTACATTTTGGGCGAGTGGATTAGCTTCTGGCGCGGATCCCCAAATTCCAAACTTACTTCTGCGACATCGTCTTACGTATTGGTTCGCCCGCCATTCGAGGGGGCCGATCGCGCCTTTCGGATTTGCCAGGGCCTCGACGTCGCTTGCCAGCGTCAGAGTGGAATCCAGAATTGCGCCTCACGAGTGGATTTGAGAACGAGCGCAAGGTGAGTTTTTCAGCTGCGGGGGGGCGCGGGCGTTTGCCGCCACGCAGCGGCCGGGGGCAATTGGGAAACGTTCAGGGACATGGAGGGCGGCAGGTCGAGGAAGAACGGGGGATGGGGAGGGCAAAGCAGCGGGCGGGAATGGGGAACATAGTGACCAGGCGAGATGCTCTGATAGGGGGAGCGATGTGGGCGGGAGCCGCAGTTGGAACTCCTTCAAATAACCTTGGGACGTTCAGGCACGTCCGCCTAGAGGCCGGCAGGGGGTTTAGCGGCCCTTGCCTTCCTGACTCTGCGAGCGGGGCGCGACGACGCACCCGACTTGTACCCCGTCCCTTTCGCCAGGTGCCGGTCTGCACGTGCTCGCCCCGCGCGAGACATCAAGCACGTTCAGAACTACACTTAGCCAGGCACTAGGTGTAGTTCTGTACGTGCTGGTTTCGCCAGAGACATCCTCACACAACGGAGCACGTATAGAACTACACCTAGCCAGCGGGGCGGGGTGCATGTCGGGTGCCGCCACTCGCGCTCCCAACGTGTACCGCGCCCCGGCCGCTAAGTGCCGTTCTGCGCGTGTCCCTTTTTCGCGAAGCATCGGCTGCCCGCGCTGCCCATCGCCGAGGCTCTGCCCCCTGGGCCGCTCCCCACCGACATCCCGGATCCCCCGGCTCAGCGAAACCAGCCGTATGTCTGGGGGCCTCGACCTCGCGCAGCCCGCTTCCCTCCCCCGCCTGCGCCCAGCAGCAAATCCGCGATCCGATCACCCGCGCTTTCGAGTTTTTCTTCGTGCCAAAATCCCCGTCCGAGGGTGAAACGCTTGTTCGTGTTATGATTTTTCTTGCGCTTGCCGCCAAGCCTCGCCGTGAAACATGGTGATCGCTTCCACGCTTGGCACGCAACGTCGTCGGCGCGACCATCGCCTTCCATCGTAGGTCGCGAGGCGGTGTCTATCCACCCAGACCGACCGACGCGCCAAAACTGATTATGATTGCCACCCCTGGTCCCCGCAACAAGGCGCAGTTTTGTTGCGTGTAGTTGTAGATGTGTTCGATCGTCGTCGTCGTCGTCGTCGTCGTCGTCGTCGTCGTCGCCGCCGCCGCCGCCGCCGCCGCCGCCGTCGCCGTCCCTCTTCTTCTTCCTCCCTCACCTCCTCTTCCTCCCCTTCCCTCTCCTCCTGCCGACGCGGCTGATTCGAAGGGCCGGAGCGCCCCGCATTCCAGCAGTGTTGGGCACCGCTGAACGATGGGTAGCTGCAATTTTGTTAGCCTCGGTGTCCTACGAGTGCTTATGTAAAACATCCTCCTGAGGAGTTTGCAGGACGAGGAGGAAGAAAGGGGAGGAGTTACACGGAGGAGGAGGAGGAGGAGGAGGAGGAGGAGGAGGAGGAGGAGGAGGAGGAAGAGGAGGAGGAAGAGGAGGAGGAAGAGGAGGAGGCGGAGGCGGATGCGGAGGAGCAGGAGGCGAGCGCAACAGCTGTACAGCCAATGTTCGCTCAACGCAAAAAGGAGGAGGAGGACGAGGAGGAGGAGGAGGAGGAGGAGGACACAGAAGAGGAGGAGAAGGAGCAAAAGAGGCGGGGGAGAAACAACAAAAGGGGCAGGACCCTCTGGGGTTGCCCAGCGAACTTCTCTGGGGTCGCCCCCCTGGGGTTCCTCTCTGGGGGTGCCCAGGGATGTTCTCTGGGGTTACCCTCTGGGGGCCCTCTGAGGCTGCCCCTCTGGGGTTTCCAGGGGGAGGGAGGAGAGGGAGCAGAGTCAGGAGGGAGGAAAGGATGCAGACACACATGAACGTATATCCCAATGAAAGGATGGAACACGTGGCAAGTGGAGGGGCAGACGAACATCCAATATATAAAAAATGATGACGTGTGGGGGATCCTGGAATGTGTGTCCAATTAGTCGTGTGTCCCTGGGCCCCCTCGCAGCGTGGGCGGGGCGAGGATCGAGGGCCCTCGGAGGTTCGGGTCTTCTCCCTGCACGCCGAGCTCCGCACGGAGAAGGCCCTGGCGCAGCGGGCCGACGCCGACGCCCTGGCGTCCATGGCCTCCTCGAGGGAGGACCTCTTGGGATGGCCCCCCCCCCCCCCAGGAGGAGGCATACAGTCGGCCCAGATTGGTAGGTCGACCCTGCCAAATCAAGGGTACCCCTGTGTCCTGTGTCTCGCGACCCATGCTTCCCACACTCCTGTGGGCAGTGTGGCCCTCGGGAGGGTCTTGAGGTCCTCTCGCGTGTCCTGTCCAATCGAGTCCGACTGTATACGAGGGCCACCACGAGGGTGCGAAGTTCCTCGCGCTTCGTGGCCTGGGCGATCTCGCAGCGAAGCGCGAGTCTCTCCTTTTTCTTCCCGGGGGGGGACGGCGCGAAGGTCATCGCTCTTCGCAGTTCGTGGAGCGCGAGGCGCGCAGATACTTGCCCTAGCATGTGCCTTCTTCTTGCTTCCGCCCCCCCACCACACAAAACAGCTATGGTGTCTCTTCCTCCCTTCTCCATCCTCTCTCCTCCCTATACTTCTGCGTCTCCTCCTCCACGGAGGGAGAAAAGGACGTGGAGAACAGACGGAGGGATGCCAGCTTGGTCCACGATTTCGCCGCTCCAGCTTGCAATCTCCGATGCCGCGCGTCTACAATGCTGTGGCTTGGCTAGGTCACGTCGGATTGCGCGAGGTTCGTTCGAACGTTCTTATACGTTTACAGAACTACCGTATGTGCGCTGCGCATCGACGCGTTACGGCATTCGGTCTCGCTCTCTCTCTCTCTCTCTGTCTTTTTGTGTTTTGTATCTCTCTCTCTCTCTCTTCTCTCTCTCTCTGTCTCTGTTTGTTTGGTTCTCTCTCTCTCTCTCTTTCTTTCTGTAGCTCTCATCACCCTTTCTCTCGTCGGACCTGTTTTTGCTCGAGGCCCTCTTCTTTCGCTCACGTTGGTGAAACAATCTTCAATCAGTATTCCCCCACGCCCTGCAGGGTGATCTCCTCGCCTCTCTCCTTTGTTGTGTGGGAAAAGTGTGCGGGCCCGTGTGGGAAAAGTGTGCGGGCCCAGTGTGTAATGGGGGGAGGTTTGACCAGTTGTATCCAGTTGTCACCGTCTCCTCGCCTTCCTTCCTCTCCCTCTCGTCTCCGATCGCCTCCCTTCCCCCTGCCTCCCATCCCTGCGAGTCGTCTCTCCTCGCTTCTCCTCCCACCCTGACAAGAAGTGTACCATCCGCACTTGCAATCATGAGTGTCCAGATGCCTGTGGTGAACCGCGCCATTGTCCCAGCGAGCAGCGCTGCAGGATGGAGGCTGTGTTTCAGGACCGGTCCAGTCCAGTGCCATGTCCGAAGTGGCTAATCCTTCCGTGTCCGCAGCCTTGTTTTCCTCTTCCTTCCTCCTTCCTCCTTTTCTTCCCCCTCCTCCCCCCCCCATTGAAGGCATCTTGGAGGCTTCTAGGGAGATGATTAGTGTCCTCTTGGGCCCTCTGGTTTTCGAGCAGTCTGGCGCACTTTGGGGCTCTCTGAAGCTTCATCGGTGCGATCTTACCCATAACTGCTTCGGATGCAAAAGAAACATTGATTTTCGCGCGGTGCTTCACTACTTTTCTCCTTGGGTTTGGGCGTCTCTTGACGGCTTAAAGTGACATTTTGGGCAAGTTTCGGATCCCTCTGAGGCCCGCCGCTCCGTCTATGGATTGTCTTAGGATGTCTTGCAGCCGTTTTGGGGCGGTCTTTGGTTGCCTGTGAGTCCTCTACAGGCGGAGCAAGTGGCCAGTTTTGGGCACTTTCAGACCCAGAAGCGCTCCCAGTGGTGGGGGGGCATTGGAAAACCAATAGATGTCGTCAGACAACAAGTATCCTTACACGCCTCAGCGCGCTGCAGACAGGGTGGCGAAGCCATATCATGGTAAGGGCAAGGATGATAATATGAATGATCATGATACTAGGTGTTGTTGTTTTCAAGCTAGTCCTCAGCTTTCCTCTGGCGTGAGCTCCGAAGCAGAGGAACGCCTTTCAACTTTACTTGTCCCCTCCACAGGATCGAAGGGGCAAGCAGCGGCACGTTTGTGAAAACACGGCTGATACCGCGGGAGGGCGCCCGTTTCAGGGGCGACTAGAGATGTTACGGCGGGTGCAGGCGAAGTTTATTTTTTATACTATTATTCATCGCCTTTCTTCTCTTACTTGATCATCGCCCCCTTCTGATCGTCAATATTTTAATAGCTCCACACGCAGAATCATCACCCCCCATTTTCATCCTCATCATCATCACCATCGCCATCGTCACCATCATCATCATCATCATCATCATCATCATCATCATCATCATCACCATCACCATCACCATCGTCATCATCATCCGCATCATCCGTGGTCATGTTGGCTCGAGTTCGGAACTCTAGCCCGCGGTGCTTCGAGCTCGCTCGGAGCTGAAGGGGCAGCTCGAAACCTGGGCACAGCTGCCTTTGTTGTGTTTGCTCCTTTCTCTTCGACCTGTTCGGGTCCCGATCTGCGGAACGCGACGGCTCGCAAAGGCTCGGATGCGTTGATGTCCGATGTGACGTTTCAGGTGGCCAAAATGAGCGAGTCCTTCATTGCGGTAGCGGCTCAGGTCTCTGAGCTTGCGTGTCGCGCCAAGGCTTTGCAAGTGGGGCTGGACAGACAGAAGGCGAACACTGCTAAGACTTTGGTGAAGTTGGCCTCCTTCCGCGCGCATGCGAACAGCAGCGACTTCGGCGATTGCAGCGAAGGCAGCGACGGCAGCTCCGCTAAGAAACCCCGTGCCATGCCTCGTCTTCGCCTCGTTGTCCAGGTTTGTTGCCGAAGGCCATTCCTATCCGTTCCAATGTCTCACTGATGGGTACACGCGTCAGGTTAAACTCGAAGCCAGTGTTGCCGCTCTTTCCTCTTGTGCGAATGAGCAATTAGAGTCAGTTATGAAGGCCCCCCCAGAACTTATCGAAGAAGTTGGTTCGCGCGCTCCCTTCTCCAGAAGCAGCTTTCGACACGATCGATACGTTGAGGAAGAACTACCCCGGCGGTTTCAAGCGCGCCACCCCCAGGGGCCCTCGCGCGCTACGTCTTGAGCCTTTTCACGATATTGAGACTAACGAGCAGTTGGCGGTTGCGGGTAGGGTTCGCAGCAAGCTCGGCCTGGCAACAAGGGCTGACCCGATCTTTTTCGCGGCGGCTAACGGACTCGTCAGTCGGCAGCGGGCTCATCTTCGCAACTGCTTTCGAGACTGGTGATTCAGTGAAGCTCATGCACGTTGCCAAGCCTAGCTCGGTACAGGAAATGCCCCGCGTCTTTCCTCTCGCCCGCCACTTCGGGGCTCGCGGACGCGGGGGCAAGCAGCAGTGGATTGGGGGGGAAGTCATGGGCCAGTTCAGCCTTTGACGACCAGTCGAATTCGCAGTCTGCTCCTGCCAGGCATGGGCGGCTCACGCACGACATTGTCTTTCTCTACTGCGTGCAGGCCGGTTGCGAGAGGCGTCATTAATTATTGGGCAGCGCGGGGCGTCACTTTTCTTCCTTTTTGCCCTCAGGAAGCTTCTATCCGTCGTCACTTGGAATACCCCAGGCCTCTTTGGAAGCGTTGGAAATGTGCGAAGTCGTGCGTGCACGCGTTGGAAACTGTTCGGTGCTCTGATTAGGCGCAGCCATATGGTCTGCACTCAGGAGTCGCACGCGCGTTTCGGGGATTGGGCTGCCACCCGCAAGGAGCTTCCGAATCGCGTGCTTTCCCTGAGCCCGCGCCCCGGGCATCTCGCTGGGCATGGGGTCCTGGTGCGCGCAAGGGAAGCCGGCCAGGCTTCATTGGTTTCAGTATGCAGTGCTGGAGTCCTGGTAAGGCGTCATCTGTTCTGGGATGGGGCGACTCTGATACCCTGGGGATCGCTGCTGTTCACATGCCGAATATCGACGTAGGTGTTGCATGCTACTGTCGCTGCCTCTATGTCATCCGATCTTCTCTGCTTCCCGCCTCTTTTGCCGCGCGCCTACTCTTAGGGGGCTTCAGTTTTGTCTTCAGGGGTGAGAGGGCGGTTGGTCTTAAGACAGGGCAATCCAATAGAGCTGGCGCCGCCTTCTCTCGCGGGTGGAAGGCTGTCTTTGGAAATCGGTTGGGGCCCCATCAGGTTCGGGGGCTCGCCGAGCTTGTCAGGGTTCCGTTGTTATTTCGGCTTCCCGTCTTGATCGCGCGCATGCTGACGTCCTCGCTGCTGGAGCAACCGTCGGAATGCTGGCGGACCCTAAGAACTTGTCCAATCATGCTCCTGCGATGGCCGATATTTCCACGACGCCTCGTCTTTCTGGCGGCCCTCCTCCAATCCCTGTCTGGCCGCCACAGCGCATGAGTTTCGTGGCATTCTGACGGGCGGCGTCGATTCGATCGACGCGCCCCCGCCGTTGCGCGCGCGTTCGGTGAGAGCTGGGGCAGCGACGCGCGAGGCGCTCGCTGAGTTTCGGAAGACGATGCGTTGCCGATTGGCTACCTCCCCGCGCGAGTTCCTGCGTTGGCGCGTCGCTGCCGTCCGCAGTGTCTGCGCGCATGTCAAGCATTTGTTTTTTCGAGCCGCGCGCGCCCGCGCTGCGCTCTCTTCCTTCTTCGACGTTTGCGCTGGCGGCCTCTTAGACCCGCTTGGCCCGCGCGCGCGCTGCCTCGCTGGGCGAGCAATTTTTGGACGGGGAAGAGGAGGCCACCATGCGGGCAGCGGACCTCCCCGAGCACGAAGTGCTGCGCATTCGTGCTTATGTGCAACGCAATCGCGAGCTGTGGCGCAGTCTGAACAAGTCGATTTGTTTTGGCAGCGTCCTTGCGGGTCACATGCGTGCACCCTGTGCGTGTGCGAAGCATGCCTGTGCCGAACTCGCTCGCCATTTGAGTTGTGTCTCTGCTGCTCGGCCTCCGGGCAGTGCTCCGTCCTGCGCTTGCTCCTCGCATCCAGTCCGCCGATGCCCTTTACCCCGGCATGATGTCTGGCGAATTTGCCGAACGAGTCGACCTCGCGGGGGGCTCGACGCGGGGGGGCGACGGGCTGCCGCGCGGTTGCCGCGGCCCCAGGGTGACCCCGTTGGATTTGCATCGCCATCGCGTCGCGCGCCCTGGAGATCCCCGCCTCGACGACTTTCTCTAGATGGTCATGGCTTCCCTGGCCAAAGGGGGTCGCCCTACTGACTTGACTGCCGCCCCTGCTTGGAGGCCCTCGTCGACTCGTCCAATCCCGATGGAGTGCGCCGATTGCCGACTTGCGGCGCTCGCGGTGGCGGCGGTCGCTCATTTTCTTTCTCGGGCCAGCAGGCGCGCCGTTCACTCTTGTCGATGCGATGGCGCCCCTGGTAGGTTTATTTTCGGCGGCGCCACCTCGCGAGAAGGCGGCGGCTTGTTGGCGCGCCTGGGGGCGGAAGGAGGCAGCTCGATTGTTCGCGGACTTCAAAGACGCATCCCCCAGTCCGCTTATTGGGCGGGCGTCGTTCGCGCTAGAGCACATGCGCATCCTGGCCTGGACTGTTCGCTTGTTCGATAATTTGTACCAGGGCAATGTTACTCGGATTCGTGTCTGTGGCGTTATCATGCTTTCTTCTGCGTTTAGTCGCGGGGTCCGTCAAGGTTGCCGGGCGCCCCTGCCGCTGTTCGCCTTGGCCCAGGACCCAGCGCGCCGCTGGCTAATCGCCGCGGGCCCCGCCGGGTTCAGCTTCTCAGGCAACGCTGACGACCTTGGGCCCCCCCTCCACAACTTGCGCGCCGATCAGGGCCCGATCTTTGGCAAGCAGTGCTTGCTCGCTCATGCCATCGGGTTGGAGGTGCACCTCGGGAAATGCATCGGTCTGGTCTGTGGGCATCTGGGCCTGAACACTTCAAGTGTTTCTTGGACCTGGGCGGTGGATGCGGGCGGTTTTTGGTCGCGACGTGGCGCGGGTACATGGGTTTTCCGCGGGGCCCGGCGCTCGCCGCAATAGCTTCCCGACGCGCCTCGACAGCTATGTCCGTTTATATATATATATATATATATATATATATATATGTAAAGATTTGTCTTGTGGTGCCTGCAAAGTCAGTTGTTGCCTGCGATGTTCGGGCTGTCTCTGCGGTCAGCCACGCGCTCCCACTCCATCGCCCCGCCCCGCGCGTGCTCCAATCTGTAGATGCAACGTCGCAGATCAATCACGCTGGCCCTCGATGAAAAATCAGCGGCAAGATCCCGCGCAAGCTTCGGCATGTAGGCTGCAGTGCTCAGCGCGTCTCAAGTCGCCGCGTGACGCGAGAGTCAGTTCATCGGGCGGCTCAGGGGCCCCAGGTCTGGCGTAGGTTGCAGACTGGCCTGCGTCTGATTTTGGACCATTCCCTGGACCTGATCCTTGGTCGGTAATCCCGTGGATGGTCAGGTAAAGTCCAACATGTGCGCGGCGCGTCAGGGGGCGCCCTCTCTCGCCGCGCAGGTCTGCCATGACGACCAAGCGTCCGCAACGCAAGCCCAACCCAGTCGGTTTCCTTTCCCCTTCTTCCTGCAGTTCGGTACCCATTGCTCCCGGCCAGAATGCGCGAAGTTCGTCCCGTTGTTTCGACGTTTCTAGTTGTTTCGGCCCTGAGGGACCTATGCCGCGGATCTGGACATCGGCTCGATTCCATTATCAACCCAGGCCTTGTCTTTTCGGTCGTCGCGAGCGCCCCGACGAGCAGCGTCGCTAAAAGCGCTGCCCCTGCGTTGCAGGTCTCTTCTCGGCTTGGGCCCGCCCCCTCTTCCTCTTGGCCCCGCGCCCCCTTTTTCCGCCCTCTGCTGCGTCGACGGTCGTTTTCCCAGCGCCGGGCGCCTCGCTTTCCTTTGCGCTCTGGTCGAATGCTTCGTTCGCGCCCGCACCCGGTCGCGGTCGCGGACCGCTACGTCGGGGACGTCAGTCGATTGAAGGCAGGCTGGGGCCGCGGATGCAGCGCCGCCCCCCCTTCGGGCGATCATTCAGCAGGTCCCTAATCTTGCGGGCTGGTCGGCTCGCCCTTTTCTTGCCGCGTCGCTTCGAGCTTGCTCTGGGCTGGGGGGGCCGTTCAAAACCAGGTCGCAGCGGCGCGCGCCTTGCTTGCCTTCGCGCGCGCGAGGTCTTGGCATTTTCGGGGGCGTAGCTCTTGGTCTTTATTGGGTAAGCGTTTTGTGTGCGTGCGTGTCCTTGTGCCCCCCCGCCCCGCGCGCCCCCTGCTGCTTCTGCCGCCGTCGCTGGCGCCGTAGCTGCGCGTTCCCCGCTGCGCGTTTCTCCTCCCGCTGCTCCGCAGCGCCTTTGCTGCGCCCGCTGGCGGTGGGCGGGCGGCCCTGCGCCGCGGCTTCCCGCTCTTGGATTCCCGCCTGCTCGGGGGCGCGTTGGTTCGCAGAGGCTCGGGCGCGTTGGTCTCCGAGCTGGCGGCCCTTCCTCTCTTGTCTGCTCTCTGCCGCGAGAGGGCGCCTGTCTTTCCGCGGCCCGCGCCGCCTGCCGCCCCTCCTGGACGGGCGCGCAGACTGGGCGCCGCTGCCGCCTTCCCTCTCGGGGCGGTCGCCGAGTCTGCCTAGGCATCGCGGGCGAAGTTCGGCCCTGGCGCCTTTTTGCGCTCGGCGGTCGCCACCTCGCGCGCGAGGTCTCGGCATGTTCGAGCGCGGCCGCCCCCCGCCCCCCCCGGTGGTTCGCCAATTCTTTCGGGCGGCGATCTCAGTGCATGACCCGATCGCGCCTGATGGCCTAGCTCCAGGCTGCGTGGGGGCAAGGCGTTTTCGGCCCTCAAAGGGCTTGAGGAGGAACCGCCTTCGTTGCTCCGCTCCTCTTCTCCATTCTTCGTCTCCCTCCTCCTCCTCCTCCCCCTCCTCCTCCTCCCTCCTCCTCCTCCTCCCCCTCCTCCTCGGGGGAAGCAATGCCCCCGCCGCTCCGCCCCCCCCTGTTTCGCACCCTCAGACTTAAACAAAGAACAAAGGCGCGCGCCGACGCGCGCTCAGAAACCCGCGCGCCGCATCTCGCGCAGCGCGCGCACGCAAAGAGCGCAGCGTTCCAGGGGGTCGCTGGCGGCGAGGCGGCGAGGCGAATCCTTGCGACGCGTTGCTTTCATTGCGCGTTGTTTGTTTTGTTTTTTGTTGGTCACCATGGCTTCCCTTCATAGCGCTCCACGAGGGGTTTCGCCTTATTGGGGGGGGGGGGGGGCGGCGGGGGGCGAGTGGGGGCGACGGCGACGGCGGCGACGACGACGACGACGACGACGACCGACGGCGACGGCGGCAGCCGCGACGACGACGACAGCGACGAGGGCGCAGCGCGCTCGAGCGGGCGCGGCGCACTTTGACCGCGACTCTGGTTTGCTTCTGCAGGCAACGCCTTCCTTCTCCCTGGCCCTAGGAGCATCCAAATATGGGCGCCCCTGGGGCCTTCGTGCCTGGATCCATTTAGCGGATCCGCGAAGGACGGGGGCATCCTGAAACGGGGCGCCCTTGCCGCCCCGCAAGGGGCCGACGCCGAGGCGCAGCTTTGATGGGGCAGCATCTCATGGAACGATTGCCCGTCTTCCCTCCGCGAAGTGCCCTTGTGCTTGATCGGCTCAGGCTGTTTCATCGCGCGCGCCTTTCGCGCCCCCCGCGCGTCTCTCCCGCGGCTGCCGCGGCGAGACTTTTGGGGGCGCCGTTCGGGGCGAGCGCATCAACGTCGGCCAAGCCCTCTCGCGCGCCGAACCGAAGGCGCGCCCCCCCCCCCCCCCCCCGCGCTCGCCAGCTTCCCGCGCGACCAAGTTTGGCGAGAGGGGTCGTCGAAGATCGCGGGCCTTCCCGCCGCGCCCGCGAACGCCCGCGCGGGCGCGAAGATATCGCGCCCTGGGGAATGGTCAATGATCGGACCACGCGGAAATCCAGGGCCCCGACGGGGAAGCAGTCGGCGCCCTCGCGGGGCTGAAGGACGCCCCGGGGCAACCGCGCCGCTTGGGCGCGGTCGGGGGCCTTGCGACAGAGTTCAATTGCAGCGGCCCCCCCCCGCCGCTCAATTTCAGGAGCCAGCCCGGCGGGCTGCGCCCCGCGCAGATTTTCGCCGCGGTCGCCGGCGAAGGCATGGCGCGCATCTTCGAGGGCGCTGACTTGCAGGGCCATTTCCTGTAGATGGCCAACTGCAAGTCAATGTGTCTCGGCGCAGGCGTCGCGCGCCAGCGCGGGGATCAGCGCGGAGCAGGCCGCGATGCGATCTGCTATCTCTGGGAGACATCCGGCGGCTTACAGATTCGCTTTTCCACGCTGACAACCGCAGCGAAACCTGCCAAGCGCTCGACCGAGCGGGGTAAGAAGCCCGAGGGGTACCGGTGCATCCAGAATGAGGGCCTGGAGAGCCACGACCGCAACCGGTTCGTGGAGTTCGCGGGGAGGGAAAGTTGGGCGGGGGAGCGCGGCGCCATCTGGTCATCCACATTGCCCCCTGTCCCCCCCCCGACGCTCCTGTCGGCCGCGCGGATTTGTTTTGGCCGCCGAGCGATTGCGGCCAGCCAAGCGGCGCGGTTGTTCCCCCGCCCCCAGGAGAGCAACGCCCCGTTGTCGAAAATCGACGCTTGGGTGAGATCCCGCGTGATCTGGGCGTTGCGGTGCCTGGCGAGCGGGCGCGTCAACGCCGAACGCCTCGCTGTCTGGGCGATCGCGCTGAAGGACTTCGGGCCGCAGATCATCTGCGGGGCGCTCGCGGCGACCCGGCCCGCGCGTCGCCGCGTCGGCGCGCTCTGGATCGGCGAGGCCAGCGGGGAAGCCGACGGCGTCGAATTCCCTCGCGATCTCGATGCCCATGCTCGAGACCGACGCCCTTGGAGGCGATGCCGGGGAGGGCGCCCCCGAGCCTTCCATTGTCACCGCCCAGCATTTTGATTCGTTCAGGGGCGAGGCCGCGGAGAGGGCGCCGCCCGCGGAGCTCGGCGACGGGGGCCTGCGCAGGCAGGGCGCGCCCGCGCTGGAAGCGCTCCTCAATCCGAGCGAGGAGGGCCCCGCCTCGCGGGCGAGGCGGGGGCCCGGCGCGTTCGCCACAGGGGCGCCCCGCAAGGCCGCGATCAACAGTTGCGACGATGCCTCGGAGGACCAGTCGGCGACAGCTCGGCGCAATGCAACCCAATGGAGACCCCGCCCCAGCAGCTCATAAATCTGACCGCCCCCTCCCTGAAGCAGATCGCAGACGAAGGCGGCATGCGGACCTGCTCGCGAGGGCTCACGCCGTCGCGGCCGCGGGCGCGCCAGGCGCCATGGGGCCGACCACTTCGCTGCTTTGTGCTCGAAGTAGGTCGGGGCTAGCGAGGGGCCCGACGTCGGGGGCCGCGGGGCTCGGGGGGCATGCAGGGCGCGAGACCGCGTTCAGTCAATCTGCAGTGGGCCCGTTTGGCGCCGCCGTGCCGAGCACTTCCCACTGCGCGTTCACGCCGCCACGGGGCTGGCGCCCCTCCGCGGAGCAGATTACGTTGATCCCCAGAGAGGACCAGGAGAAGGACGAGGAAGATGCGGAGGAGCACGAAATTGAAATATGAACAGGAAAAGGGAGGGACAGGAGGAGGAGGAGGAGAAGGTAGAGGAATGGAGGACCAGCGGTCACGGCAAAGGGCCGAAAGCGCCTGGGCCCCATCCAGACCGGCGCCGATTGCCTCATCTTCCTCCCTGCTGCGCGCGCTTTGCTTACCAGTGCCTCGGCGCCCGCCCTCTGAGACGGTCAAGCACTGATTGCGCCCAGTGCCTTCTGGATCCTCATCTGCATCCCAGTCATCATCACAGTCATCAGCATCATCATCAGCATCGCCATCATCACCATCATCATCACAATCATCAGCATCACCATCCGCATCATCATCACCTTCATCATCACCATCATCATCATCCTCCTCTTCATCATCATTATCATTACTATCCTCATCATGCTGATCCTCTTATCCCGTCCCCCTGCACCCGCTCATGTTTTCACTCCCCCGCCGCTCCTGCTTCTGCATCGTTTCTGTCCCCTGCTCGTTTTGGAAATTTGGCAAATTTAAACCGATTGGGTCGTAGCGTTAGGGCGGTACGGCATGGCGATGTCACCGGCTTAAGCGCTGTGGCCAACAAGTGAAACTGCAAGCACGTGCGGACGAACAATGAGATGAAACACTTGGAAAACAGGGGGAATCCACACGGACACATAACAACTAAGCAAACAGTCCTCCCCCGGCTCCCCCTCTGTCCTCCTGTGGTAGCCCCCTTCCCCCAGCGGCGGACCTTTTGCTGTCGAGCGGTCACCCGGCACAGGGAAGCCATTCGTGGACTTCTCCCCCACTCCCCAGATTCAGAGTTGGCACGCGCGGGGTGAAGGTTGCGGTTGAAGTGCTGAACCCACCGCCATCTTTGGGCATTGGGTGGGTCGGCGGGCATTGCGTGACGAACCAGCAACACACACCCATACCCATAGGGGGATCGGAGAGGGCTATGGGTGCGTGTTGTCGGATGGGGGTCCCCGCTCGAACGGGAGAGTTCCCCAGGGTCCGACAACCCGCACCCATACCCATATCCAGTCCTCCTCCCAACGACCTCCCTATGGGTATGGGTGTGTGTTGTTCGTTCGTCATTGCGGATGAATGTTGCATGCGTGTTTGCGAATGTCTTCCGAAGTTTGTCCCCCCCCCCCCGCTCGCGAGGAGGAGTGCGCGAGGCTGCGGCGCGAACTCTTGGCGTGCAAGGACAAGGTGCGCCAGACCGGGCTGGAGATGCAGGAGCAGCTTTGCAGTCGTTCTTCCTGTTGCTGTCTGTGTTCCTTCTCTCCCCCTTCATGCTGTCCTCCTCGTCCGCCTCGTCTTCTTTTACCACTTATACTGCTGCCGTTCCTCCAGTTGCTTCTCCTCCTCCTCCTCCTCCTCCTATTGCGAAGGCCTTACGGCCGTTGCCGCCGACCCTGAAGATGACGAAAGACAACACGAGGGGGGGGGCAGGAGGAGGAGGAGGAGGAGGAGGCGGAAGGGAGTAGGAGGAGGAAGGGTGAAGGGGGAGGAGGAGGAGGCCTTATGGATGTTGGTTGGGATCTCGTGGTTGACCTCTCGGGGGCGTCTGGAAGGCAACTTGAAGCCTCTTGGGGGCCGTTGTGGGGCCTCTTGGGGCCTCTTTTGGGCCTCTTGGGGCTTCCGGAGGCCGTCTTCGGCGCATCTTGGGGGCGTCTTGGCGCCGCTCGGGGGCCTCTTGGGGCCTTTTGGGGGCCTCTTGGGGCTTCCCGGGGGCCTCTTAGGGCGGAAGTCTCGAATTCTCGGTTCCTCGTCCCCCTCTTGGCCGTTTCTTGGGCCCGTCTTGGGGCCCTATTGGGCCGTTTTGGGCGCCTCTTAGGCTGTCCTGGGGCCTTCTTGGGCCGTCTTGGGGCCCTCTTGTACCACTTATACTGCTGCCGTTCCTCCAGTTGCTTCTCCTCCTCCTCCTCCTCCTCCTCCTCCTATTTGTGCAATGTTTCTTATAGCTGTTGCTGCTGCTCCAGCTCCTTTTCCTTCTACCATCTTTGCTGCTAGTGTCCTCCATCCCGACCACGCACGCACGATTTTTGCGAGTATATCGCACGGCTTCAGCAACAACAGACAATAAACACATGTTTTTCTTCCATGAGGAATGTGAGATGCAACAAACGCACACGCCCACGCACACGGACATACGGACACGGACACCCATCTGTATATATATATATATATACACACACGTCCACACACAGTTTTGGGCTGTCGCGACCTCGTGCGCAGCGACGAAGCGAAGAAAGTCAACACACACCAACACGCACGCACACGCACACGCACACGCACACGCGCACGCGCACACACACACACACACACACACACACGCGCGCACACACACATACGCACACACGCACACACACACACACAGACGCGCGCACGCGCACGCGTGCACGCACGCACGCACGCACTCACGTACGCACGTACATACGCACGCCCGCACGCACGGACGCACGCACGCACGCACACGCACACCCACGTTCGCGCGCACGCACGCACGCACGCACGCGCGCGCACGCACGCACGCACGCGCACACCCACATTCGCGCGCGCACGCACGCACGCACGCACGCCGCGCACGCACGCACGCACGCACGCGCGCGCGCACGCACGCACGCACGCGCACGCACGCACGCACGCACGCGCACACCCACATCACGCGCGCACGCGCACACGCACGCACGCACGCACACGCACACGCACGCGCGCACACGCACAGACACACACACACACACATATACACACACGCGCACACACAAACACGCACACACGCACACATACACACAAACACACAAACACACACACACAAATGCGCGCGCACGCGCACGCGCACGCACACGCGTGCACGCACGCACGCGCACTCACGTACGCACGTACATAGGCACGCAAGCACGCACGCACGGACGTACGCACGCACGCACGCACACGCACACCCACGTTCGCGCGCGCACGCACGCACGCGCACGCACGCACGCACGCACGCGCGCGCACGCACGCACGCGCGCGCACGCACGCACGCACGCATGCACGCACGCACGCACGCACACACGCACGCACGCACGCACGCACGCACGCACGCAACACACACACACACACACACACACACACACACACACACACACACACACACACACGCACACGCACTTGCACTCGCACTCGTACTTGCGGCGCAGCGAGGTGGCAGACGAATGATGCACAGATGCGCGCAGGAGCTCGTGGAGGCGCAGGAGAAATACGAGGGCGTGATCAAGAACCAGGACCAGAGGGAGGGGGGCGCGCACCGAAGGGACGGGGCAGAGCCAGGCGGAGTTCTCTGGGCCAAGTCTCTTTGTTGTTATCTTTTTGTTGTTCTCTCTCTCGTCTCTCTCTCTCTCTCTCTTTCTGTCTCTCGTTCCCTCTCTTTCTCTCTCTCTTTCTCTCTCTTTGTCTCTCTTTCTCTCTCTTTCTCTCTCTTTCTCTCTCTCTCTCTCTCTCTCTCTCCCCTCGGAGTCGGAGGAGGACAAGTGCAATGAGGAGGAGATGGTGGCGGAAGAGGAGGAGTGCAGTTGGCACGAGGGTAGATTTCAAAGCCTAGGTTTGGAGGGGCGCACTTGTGTCATCCCTGGCTGGGGTCTCCGCTTTGGAGTGCCTGTCGCTTTTTGGGTATCTCCAGGGAGCGGGCCTTCGGCGAGTGGGCTCGTGCTCTTGGCCCGCGTTCTTGTAGCCACGCTTCAGTTGTAGAGCAGGAGAGTGAGGAGGAGGAGGAGGAGGAGGAGGAGGAGGGGAGCCGAAGGAGAAGACGGGCAGGAGGAACAGAGGGGGAGCGGCGGCAGAACCGTGAGGATGAGGCGGGAACAGCGCGGGGGGGGGGCCGATGGGAGGCGGCGCGGTGCTGCTTTTGCCCACGCTGCCCCTGCGCTCGCGCGTCCGCGTCGGCCCATGCCTTGCACGGATCGTGCCGCACGGGGAGCTCCATCTGCGGCCCCGTCCGGGGGCCTCGGCGCACGGGGCGCTGGTCCTCATCCAGCACACCGCTCGCACGAGCGAGGGGTGCCCCTCGCCGTCCCCCTCGCCTCTCGAGGCGGGAGCGCGCCCCCTTCCTGCCGCCCCTCCGCTCGTTTCCTCCCTCCCGCCGTCTGCTTGATGACCGTTCTCCTAAGCAGTGGCGGGAAGTCGCCCCAAGCGCACGAGCGCTCCAGCGTGAAGCAAAGATCGTCTCGATAGGAGCCGGCCTTCGCGGCTAAACGTGCTATCAGCATGGTGTGGTGGCGTTAACCCGGCCGGCCACCTGAGGAAGAACAACAAATTGTATGGTGAAACGGTCGCCGCCTGTGCCGCACACCGTTTCACGGGGCTGGGTCCTTCGCTCGGCAGGATCTCGTTCCAGAGGCCTCGCTTGGGAGCAGGGCCCCCCGGGCTGCTTCGGTGGTAGATCGTGGGGTCCTTGCATGTCCTCGCCATTCCGCCTTTAAAGTGCACTGGCGTGCGCTAGCGCTTGGTAGTCGACGAGGCAGCGCCGATTAGCGCTCACTCGCATCGATTAGCGTCGATGTTTGTCGAGTTAGCGTCGATTCGCAAGTGCCAAGTGCCAAGAGAGAGAGAGAGAGAGAAAGAAAGAAATAAAGAAAGAAACAAATAAAGAAAGAAAGAAAGGAGGAGGAGGAGGAGGAGAGGGAGGAGGAGGAGGAGAGGGAGGAGGAGGAGGAGGAGGAGGAGGAGGAGGAGGAGGAGGAGGAGGAGGCCGAGGAGGAGCACGGGCGCCACGCAGGGAGGAGCACCAGGCGCTACGCAGGCGCTCGGCGCCGCCGGCGCGCACCGCATTGGCCCCCCCCCCCAGGACCGCCAGATGAAGGCCCTGCAGCGAAAGTCGCGGCTCGCCGAACAGGAGCCCGGCGAGAGGCGAGGAGGGTGGGCGCGAGGAGCGAGGTGGGGCGAGGAGGGGCGAGGGGAGGAAAGGGGAGAGCGCGAAGGGAGCGAGGGCGTTTCTCGCCCATTCTTCCACTCTAGGCCTCCCAGATGGCGTCCGAGTAGATGGGGTCGGTGGATCGCGTCGCATCGCCAATGCATCGGGGATGCAGCCCGATGTGGATCCCCATTTTCTCCGCGCCGGCGTCGCCGATGGCGATGCATCGGCTATGCGGCGCGATCCTCATACCCCATCTATTAGGGTCCTGTCTGGGAGGCGGGCTCGAGTCTAGGTCCCCCCCCGATTGGCCAGATTGGCCAGTTTCCATTCCTGCGGCTCAGCTATTGCCTGGCCTGCGACAACTTGAGGTCGGGGTGGAACTGGACGGAGCGGAGGCTGATGTCCCACTCCACCCTCCCCCCCACCCTGGAGTGCCACTAGCTGGCTCGCCGTGGGGTCGCGCAAAGTCCTCCCCCCCCCCGGGAACAGGGCCCCCCCCCCACGGAGAGGCGGCCACGCATGAGGCCACCGCAACCTCCTCTGGAGGACCAGTCCAATCCAATGCCACCCTCTCTCCCTCCGTCCCTCCCTCCCTACCTCCGTCCCTCCCTCCCTCCCTCCCTTCATCCGTCCATCCCTCCATCCGTCCATCCCTCCCTCCCTCCTTCCCTCCCTCCCTCCCTCCCTCCCTCCCTCCCGGCTCACGAAGGAGAGGACAGAGGCGGGCCAGCGAGCAGCAGGGGGTGTGGCCAGGCCGTCCTCGACTTCACCGCTCTTCGGCACAGTGTGGCCTCCCGGGCTCAAGGAAGGCCTCCTGTTGAGACCGGTCATGGTGCCAGGGAGGAAGAGGAGGCGGAGGAAGGTGAGAGTTACGCGCTGGGCGCGCGTGGGAGCGGGGGCGGGGGCCGGAAGGGGCGGAGGAGAGGAAAGGAGGGAGAGGGGCGGCGGGGGGCGGGGGCTTTCGGGGCGGGCGTGGTGGTGGTCGTGGCCGTGGTCGTCGGCGCTGTGATCGCGGACCCAGTCCTGGTGTTGGTCGTGGGGAGCGTCGCGCTGCCGCTGGTGATGGTCGCGTTGGCGGTGATCGTGGTGGTTGTCGTGCTGGCGGTCGTCGCGGAGGAACGGCGGGGGGCGGAGGCGGTCAGGGTGGTCGTGGTGGTGGTCGTGGCCGTGGCCGTCAACGCTGCGACCGCGGACTGGATCCTGGCGGTGGTCGTGGTGATTGTCGCGCTGCCGCTGGAGGTGGCCGTGGTGGTGTCGATGGTCATGGTGGTTGTCGTGCTGGCGGTCGTCGCGGTCGCGGGGCTGGCGGCGGTCGCGCCGCGTGCCCTGCGGATGGCTGTGGTCGTCTTCTTGGTGGCCTAGCGCCCGAGCGCGCTCAGCAGCATCTCAGCATTCCTTCTTTGGAGAGTCCTGCTGATCTGCCGCCAGAGGCCGCCCAGCAGCTCGGAGCGGTCACCGTCGTCTAAGCCGGCCCCGTAGCTGCGGACAAAGCTTGTTGCTTCATCATTGGGCCGGCTCCCCCGTCCCAAAGACTAGGGGGACCATCTCTCCTCCGTGCGGAGGGTAGCGCTCTCGCTTCTGTTCCACCGCCTGGGCGGCCGCCAACCCGTCTTTCTCGGCCCGGGCACCACTGCGTGGAGCGTAGGTTGAGTGCACGCAGGTAATTAATGCTCCAGTCGATGACGATCTGGCGGCCGCTGGCCGGGTCGCTGGTAGAGAGGTCGAGCACCGCCTGTTGGAGCTCGCCCGTGCGGGGGTGGCGGCGATCCCAGACTGGGACGGCCTGCTCCGTGGGCGCCGCCAAGCCTGTGAGCTCCTTGTGCTTCGCCGAGTGCTAGTCGCGGCATCTGTTGTGGCGGCTGTTGCGCGACGCGCCCACCTCGCACTTGACCGCGTGCCAGCCGTGCAATCCAACACAATCCCACCCTCCCTCCTTCCCTCCGTCCCTCCCTCCCTCCTTCCTTCCTCCCTCCTCCCTCCTCCCTCCTCCCTCCTCCCTCCTCCCTCCTCCTCCCTCCTCCCTCCTCCTCCCTCCTCCTCCTCCTCCTCCTCCTCCTCCTCCTCCCTCCTCCCTCCTCCCTCCTCCTCCTCCTCCTCCTCCTCCTCCTCCTCCTCCTCCTCCTCCTCCTCCTCCTCCTCCTCCCTCCTCCTCCCTCCTCCCTCCTCCCTCCTCCCTCCTCCCTCCTCCCTCCTCCTTTCTCTCTTCCCGTGTGCCCGAGAAGGGGGTCGTCGGTGCGCGCCGCTCCGAGGAGGCCCTCGCGCGGGGCGGCGAGGTCCGCGGGCTGCGGGAGGCCCTGGCCGGCCAGCTGCAGGCCGCTGCCACGGCGCACGAGCGCGAGCTGCACGCGCTGCCGCTGGACCCGCTTGTGGGGGAGGGGGGGGGCCGTGTGACCTCCTCCTCCTCCTCCTCCTCCTCCCCTCCTCCTCCTCCTCCTCCTCGTGTGACCGCTGCCGCTCCTCCTCCTCCTCTCCTCCTCCTCCTCCTCCTCCTCCCTCCTCCTCCTCCTCTCCTCCTCCTCCTCCTCCTCCTCCTCCTCCACCTCCTCCTCCTCCTCCGCGCTGCCGCTGGACCACTTGGGACCTTGTTGGGCCAGCCATGGACCGTTTGAGGACCGAGCGGCACAAGTGCGCCGCCCCGCTTCTGGCCGCGGCCCCACGCGAGCGCCGGAGAGAGCGGCACGCTGGGTCGCTGCGCGGGGTCGCCTGGGCGACGGGGGCCAGGGCCCCGAGCATATGATCCCAGGTCGAGGGCTCACAGGCCCCCCCCCAGATGGGATGGCTCTCGGCCCCCCCACTCTGATAAAATGGGGGGGAGACGACGACGACGACAACGACGAGGAAAATGCTGGAAGGCTCGCGCGGCGCGCGATAGCTATAGCATCCAGTCCACACCTTCGCCCCGCCAGATCTGGGGCGACGCCTGCGCGGCGAAGTTCCGACGCAAGGCCGACGTGAATCCGACATCAATCCGACGTGGATCCGATGTAAATTGGGCCTCAAGTTGCGGCGCGAGGTCTTCAGGATTTTCATCAGAAGGAGGGGGCGTGGACCGGGCAGCGGGGAAAGGGTACAGCAGGATCATACCATGTTCGAAGCCAATGCCGATTTCAGGATGGGTGATGAATTTAGGGGTTCGAATCTGTCTTTCCACTCAAGCCCCCTGCACTGCCGCAGCCTCAATCTTAGTTTGAGGTGTCCGGGGGGGGGGGGGGGGCATCTTGCGCTGCAGGGTTCGCGGGGCGAAGGGAAGAAAAGAGGGGAGGCGAGACGGCACGGGGGGAGGGTGCAGCAAAAACATACGATGAGAAACCTTGCTATATGAGAGAGCCTGAGACACGGTTTGAGTGGCACAGCTCACAGAAACCGCCCCAGAGAGGAGGAGGAGGAGGAGGAGGAGGAGGAGGAGGAGGAGGAGGAGGAGGAGGAGGAGGAGGAGGCGGAGGAGGAGGCGGAGGAGGAGGAGGAGGAGGAGGAGGGAGGAGGACGAGGACGAGGACGAGGACGAGGACGAGGACGAGGACGAGGACGACGAGGACGAGGACGGGAGGAGGGAGGAGGGGAGGAGGAGGAGGGGGAGGAGGAGCAGGCCCTGCTGGGCCACCCGACGGCCCGCGGGGCCCCCGGGCGAGAGTTTTCTTCTCGCGGCGGCGGTGGGCGCCGCCCTCTCGGCGCCGGCGCCTGGGCCCCTGTGGCCTCGGGCGCCGGCCCCGGCGGCAGCGGAGGGGGCCTGCTCCCCACCCCCCCACACCTCAGGCACCCAGGAGGAGGAGGAGGAGGAGGAGGAGGAGGAGGAGGAGGAGGAGGAGGAGGAGGAGGAGGAGGAGGAGGAGGAGGAGGAGGAGGAGGGAGGAGGAGGAGGAGGAGGAGGGGAGGAGGAGGGGGAGGAGGAGGAGGAGGAGGAGGAGGAGGAGGAGGATGAGGAGGAGGAGGAGGAGGAGGAGGAGGAGGAGGAGGAGGAGGAGGAGGCTCGAGGATGCTCGAGGAGGCTCGAGGAGGAGGAGGAGGAGGCTCGAGGAGGCTCGAGGAGGCTCGAGGAGGCTCGAGGAGGCTCGAGGAGGAGGAGGAGAAGGAGGAGGAGGAGGTCCAGCGCGGGCTCATGGTCACCCCCGCGCCAGGGCAGGCGCCCGGCGGCGGCGGGGGCCCCTCTTCTGCGACCTCTTACCCTTTAAGCCCTAGGTTCTAAACTGGCACGCTGAACTGCCAATTCTTCGTCGAATTCTGAGGTTCCCTAAGGTGCCTCAGAGCATCTGTGGGCCCCTGGGGGCCACTGAGGACTAGAAATTTCTGTGGGGGTACCTGCTGGCAGGGCGGCTTCTTATGTTTTGCGCTGCTGTAGCGGGAACGGGTGGAGAGGAGGGCCGTGGGAGGAGAGGGGATATGAGGCTTTTGCCTCCTTGACGGGGTCATCGCTTCGGCGTGCCCCAAGAGCGAGCACAGGGTGCTTACTGGAGTCCGAGCACAAAGCGCTGAGGTACCTGAAGGAGGGGGGGGGAAGAGACAGGAGGAGTGGAGAGGGAGGATAGAGCTGAAGGGGGAGGCTGGAGCAAGAGGAGGAGGTGGAGGAGGGGTGGAGCGATGCGCAATAGGGTGGAGGGACGAGGAGGAGGAGGAGGAGGAGGAGAAGGAGCAGCAGGAGTGGGAGCGAAAAGTGAAGAGGAGCTGGATTGCGAGGAGGAGAGGGAAGATACGACATGAGTGAGAAGGAAAGAGGAAGAAGGTACATGCTGAGGAGGACATGGGCGGAGTGAGGATGAAGGGAGGAGGGAAGAAGGACGGAGGAGGGATAATTGAGGGGGAGGAGAAGGTGGAAAGTGAGGAGGAAGGCGGAAGAAGAAACGTAGGGCAAGCAAGGAGGGCGGACGGCAGAGGGAGGAGGAAGGAGGAACAGGAGAAGGAGGACGGCGACGACACCGACGAGGACGAGAGCGAGAACAAGTACACAAAGAGAGAGAGAGAGAGAGAGAGAGAGCCGTACGAAAGGGGCCTCAGGACCACCAGGCTCGACCTGCACACCTCGTGGACTGGCGATACGCGGCCCTCGAGCCGGCCAGGGAAGCCTTGGACGCCGCCGCCCCGTCCCCCCAAGATGTCTCGAATCGGCCTCTCGGGTGAAGTCGGGCCTGTCCCTCGACAGGAGGAAGATTCCCAAATAGTTACAACAAATAGTAGGGGAACTATTTGTTTGACTATTGTTGAGCATTTTTAGCTGATTTTTGGGGTAAATAATTACAAAATATTAGGGGAAGTGTTTTTCGACTATTGTTGAGCATTTTTAGTTGATTTGTTTGGGGTATGTTCGATTTGTCGCTCAAAATCTCCCTGTAGGAGGACGGGCCCGACTTCACTGTCGGGGGAGGGGCTCGGGGAGGGGCGGGGCGTTGCCCACGTCGGTGCGCAACCCAACCACGGGGTCGGCGAAATTTCCCGATTCTGTCCGGGGAGGGCGGGGGGACCTCCCACAGATGTCACGACTGGGTCATGTCGGGCGTGTGCCCCTACAGGGGGACGTTCGACGAAGAATAAAACATACGCCAAAAATACCCCAAGAAGGTCAACACATACTGAAAAAATAGTCCCCAGACTATTTTCGGAGTATTTTGGGACTATTTCTGCATATTTTTAATTTTTCGTCGAAAATCCCCCTGTATGGGGGACAGGCCCGACCTAACGATAGGGGGAGCGGTGGTGCAGGAGAGCGAAACGGATTGGGACGAGTGAGGGCAGAAGGGGCGGCAGGGATATGTTTTTGAAGCCCCTGCCCTTACAGGACAGCATGTCAGACGCTGGATCTGTTGTCAGTGGTTTTGCTGGAGCGGGGCAAGCGGTGCTCACAAACTACTCGTCCATCTCGCGTGCGTCGATGCCTGGCTCTTAGAGCGCTCTCGTGTTGAAGTCGGGCGGGGCAGGAGAACGATCAGGAGAAGGAGAGGAGGAGAAAAGGGAAAAGGAGGCGAGGGACGAGGAGGACGACGAGGAGAGGGACGAGGAGGAGGAGGAGGAGGATGAGGATAGGGTCGAGGAGAAGGGGGAGAGGAGGAGGGGTTGGAGGAGGAGTGGAGACGCTGAAGAGGAGGAGGAAGAGGAGGAGGAGGAAGAGGAGGAAGAGGATGAGGATGAGGAGGTTAGGAGGAGGGAGAAGGGAGAGGTAGGAGTGGGCAGTGTAGTGGAGGTTGGAGATCACACCGATTTCTTCGGTGTTCACTGCAGTACTGACTGGGCTCCCCCCTCCCCCGCCGCCGGCCGGCATTTTGAACCGGTTTTGGCCGGCGAGTCCGCAGCCATTTTGGTGGTTGTTCCCCCCGTTTTTTTTCGCACGTGAGTTCGCGAGCTCTGGCGCTTGGGAGTTTTTGTTTTGTCAGAAGCCGCCGCAATCGGGAATATTTCAAACGCCGAAGTGAAAGTCGCAATGTTTCGATTTCTGTTAAACCATTGCAGGCGCGCGCTAGACTTTCATATAAGAAATCCTATTGGATAAACCTGGTTCGGCGCTTGAGTCGGCCAGATGACATGTGGAATCATAATCCGGAACTATAAGCATTGTTGGGGCTTATTTCTGCTTAACTGATTCCAAAGCACAGCCCGCCAGTAGAAAGTGAAATTGATTCAAAGAAGATTCGCCGCCAGTTTTTTGTTGAATTGGGAGTTTGAGCTGTATGAACTTGTCTGTCCCGCCGCTTTTGGGGAACGTCAGTTTCTGTTGTCATGATGTTCCCCGCCGCCCGTTTGTTTTGGGATATGGAGTGTTTTCTTGTGCTTCCGGTGTGAATGTTGAAGCAGGCCGCCTCCATGCCCGCAGCAATGAGATAACGAAGCTTATGTTCTTGAAGAAATGAGGTCCGTGGTTCAAACTGTTTTCTTTTGTGTCGCTTCGCTCATCACATCAACGGCCTAGGACCAAGTCGGACAATTGAACACAATGAACTCCAGACCTGGGTTCCACGTGCCACCTTTCCCCCTCCTTCGAGGAGGGACATTGCTGGATATCAAACCTCTCCCGTCCTGGTCACCGATGCCACCAGTTGCGGCATTAAGCGTTGTCGTTTCGACGGTGCCGCCACGTTTGACGACGTCGAGCGGGGCTTCCTGAAATGAGGGGAACTTTTATTCAATCGCTTCGCTCATTCCGCCAGCCCGCGAGGGCGGCGCCCAGCAGGAAAATCATCTCTGACCCGACCTGCCCGGGGTGCTTCGTCAGGGAACCCCCAGGGGCCGCCTCGCGCGCGCGGAGTATGAATATTGTTAAGTAGTTACCGGAGATCTTAGCACGCCTCTGGCCCGATGGACCGGTGAATTAAGCGGTGCCACGAAACTGTCTCAGGAAGTGTTGGAGATGTGCAGGAGGTTGGTGGCAGCTGATCGAGCCACCGCAACTGCTCAACCGTCGGTGCGTTTGAACATAAACTGTTGGCCGCGCTTTATCGCGCTTCTCGACCCGCTGGCCACGTGCCATCTCGCCACTGCTGCCCGGTTGACATTCGACGCGCTCCAGGACAACATGCGAGCGTTACGCGCAAAAGTTCAATCAATCATTGAGCCACCGTGTGTTCTCACAGACGTGCAACGCAGGGCTCGCGCAACAATGCAAAACGAACAGGGCAAGCACGCTCCGCTCGTCGTGGAGATCGCCCACGGGCATGACGACAACGCGAGGTTCATGCTTGAGTTCGGCATAAATCCGAATGGCAGTGCCAACCATACTGTGGAGTTGTATGGCCCGGCGTGCGAACGGCGCGCAGAAACATTGCCAGCTTGAGGCACGTGGAGTTCCAGGAGCTCGCAAAAGTCATGGCAACGGGCTCTGTGCCAAGCGTGAGGCCTAAGCACTTGAGAGATCGATGCAAGAATACGGCGCGGTCAGCTCCAAGGCGCTCCTCTCGCGGCGGGGGCTGTACCAGAGATGCATCGAAGGAAATGGATACGATCCGCGTGACCTGTGTGGATACCTTGGCCGTTCTGTGCGAGCGGAGACACTCACTGAAGAGGACATGTCGTTCGACGCAGCGGAACAAGCTGAAAGAAATGCTGAAATACATGCTATGCAGCGCCGACGCAGCGAGGAGGAAGTTGATTTCGCATCAATGTTCAGCGAACCTATGGAACTTGACACATCCAGCTCGTCTTAGTCATGTCCATGATTCGTCCAGTTCAGTGGAATCCTCGGTGCGACCACTGCGCCGTCATCCCCGACCTTGCACTGGAGGACGACATGAACAAAACTTTCGAGGCTCCGCCGCGGATTTCCTGGATCGGCGCTGACCCCCCTGTCGGGTGTTGCTAAAGGTTCCGCTAGCCCGAGATGCCCCCAGGAATTCCCGGGGGCCCTCCAGGGTGTCCAGAGCACCCCTCAAGAGGCTCAGAAGGGGGCCCAGGAGAGCCAAAGCTGCGCGAAAACCTGGGGGCGCCTTGGGCCAGGGGCACTTTTGGCAACGCCCGACACTGGTGCGGTTCGCACGCCGCGGGAGGCGATGCAGCGCTGGAGTTGCGGGGAGAGCGAAAAAGGCGGCGCGGCCAGGGAGGCCCAGCGCCGATCCAGGAAATCCGAGGCGGACCTTTGAAAGGGCATGTCCTTTTGGGCGTAGCCCGAATTTTTTTTCTCCCGAGGTAAACTCCGACTGAACTGACCGGCCGCGCCAGTTACGCGGCGCTGCCTTCCTCTTTCAAAGTTGTGTTCTAGAGCTCGGCCTCTTTATGTTCGTTCGTTCGCGGTTAGTCTCCCCCCTTGACCGCGGACCCCCCCGAGCCTCCCAGGGCAGCTCCCCTGGGCCGCGGAACCTTTCTTTTCGTTCGTCCGTTCGTTCGTGATTCGCCCCCCCCCTTCCCCCTGGCCACCCCCCCAGGCCGCAGAATCTGGCACGTGTCTTCATTTATGTTTCGTTGTGCATTTCCCTGGGCCCGCCCCCCCCCTCGTCCCAGCGCAACTCCCCGAGCCTCCCAGTGCAGCTCCCATGGGCCGTGGAACCCTTCATCGCCCGCCAGTTTCTTGAGTTCCTTGAATTATAGTAGTAGTAGTAGTCGTAGTAGTAGTGGTAGTAGTAGTAGTAGTAGTAGTAGTACGAGTACGAGTACGAGTACGAGTACGAGTACGAGTACGAGTACGAGTACGAGTACGAGTACGAGTACGAGTCGTAGTAGTAGTAGTAGTAGTAGTAGTAGTAGTAGTAGTAGTTTTAGTAGTAGTAGTAGTAGTCGTAGTAGTAGTAGTAGTAGTAGTAGTAGTAGTAGTAGTAGTAGTAGTAGTAGTAGTAGTTGTAGTAGTAGTAGTAGTAACAGCAGCAGCAGCAGTAGTAGTAGTAGTTGTAGTAGTACTAGCAGCAGTGGTAGTAGTGGTAGTAGTGGTAGTAGTGGTAGTAGTGGTAGTAGTGGTGGTAGTGGTAGCAGTTGTAGTAGTAGTAGTGTAGTAGTAGGTAGTAGTAGTGTAGTAGTAGT